CCTTCCCTTCCCTTCCCTTCCCTTCCCTTCCCTTCCCTCCCCTCCCCTCCCCTCCATGTAACTCTGCTACTTTCTGCTACGAGAGCCAGTTTGGTGTTGTGGTTAAGGCACCAGACTAGAAACCGGGAGACTGTGAGTTCTAGACCCACCTAGGCACAAAGCCATCTGGGTGACCTTGGGCCAGTCCCTTTCTCTCAGCCCTGGGAAGGAAACAATGGCAAACCACTTCCAAAAAAATCTTGCCAAGAAAACTGCAGGAATTAGTCCAGATAGTCGCCAGGAGTCAAAAGCTGACTCGAAGGTGTGCATGCATGTACAGACACACACACACACACACACACACACTTTCTGCTACCCACACTGGTTCCTATCAGCCAGCAGGGCCAACAGTAATGAGCTGAAGTTCAACATATCTGCTGGGCACTAGGTTACACTCTCTTATGAGATCTTGCACACCTTGCTAGGAACTGGTGGTGGGAATCAGGATTGTCTGATTTCTGTCATGCTCCACTTTGGCCTTTTTCTCCTTCTCCTCTTCTGTCTTCCCCAACCTTATTAATGCTTATGTTGAAATGTGAGCCCTGAAGAAAAAAGTACATGCACCAGATTCCTTGTACATCTTGTCCTTCTCTTTGGGAGTGATTGTAGATTGGGCCCAGGGAACAGCAAACAAGTTCATCAGAGCCAGAGAGGTGAGAAGAAAAAGCTGGGTGTGTTCAGAAGGGAAGACAACTAAGAGCTTTTGTCCCAGACTTGTACTAGGGCTAGGAGAAACACACCCTGGGAGTGGGTCAGATATGCAATCTTGCTGATTTGATTATCATTTGGTGAAGAACTTTAATTACTGCTGTGCTAAAAAAAAAACAAAAAACAAAAAACCTTTTTTCTCTGTCCATTCTCTCTCACTTTGTAAGAGCATCTGCTTTCAAAATTTCTCTCAGAGGAGAAGAAAAATTGGGGGAAATTCTTATGGGCAGAAGGAAGTGGTCTTGTACTTGTTTAGGGATGAGGGTCTATAGCCTTTTTAGTCTTCCACATTGCCACCGCTCCCAAGACGCAGCCTCTCACTACAGATAGGGGAAAGTGGGCACAGATAGAGGCTTCTAAGTGGTGAAAAGATGTGGAACAGAAACTAGAAAATCAGCTGTACTATTGTCTGCCCCTTCCAGCAATGAAGTAGCTACAAAAATACCACCAAGAGAAATTCAAAACAAATTGTCTAGTCAAGAATAAGGTACAAAAACAGAATTCACTTTCTTGGAGGATGGGGGTGGGCAGGGGAAGCAAAGAGGGCCTCAAATAAGAATGTTTGGAAAGCAAGTTCTCGTTTCGCATGACTGTCTACCCTCAAATAGCTTTCACAGGTTTTGCAATGTTACCAGTTCTGCAAACCCTGTTACTCAGAGGCAAGACTGTTCTATCAAAACACTTTCCATCTTCTGAAAAAGAAAGCAAGACAGCCTACTGTTTCTCAACCTCAGCAACTTTAAGATGTGTGGACTTCAATTCTCAGAATTCCCCTAATCGTCCAAGAGCCAGAAGTGAGGGAGTCATGGCTGGGCATCATCTTTGCAGGGAACAAAATGGTCCTCTGTTTAAAAAAAATCCTTTATTTGAAGTCCTGTCCTGTCCAGTCCAACAATAGAATTAAGAGGGAGAACAGGGGACTTGGAATTCTTTGCTGACTTCCAACCTTGTTTTTTGAGAAGTCCCCCCCCCAAATTAATTGGTTTATTATAGAATACAAATAATACATTGTAGAATACAAATAAAAACTAAGTGCAGTGGGGGTTTTTTAGAAGTTAATGGGTTGCCTTGATATTTTTGCAATGTTTTTTTCTTTTTCTTTCTGA